GCTTCAGGATCCTTTGGGACTTGTCTATACTTGGGTTACGGTTTTTACAGCCCGCACGGCCCGGCGCTGTATACATTCCTCTCTCCTCACTTTACCCCCCGATTACTTACTGCGGCTTATTTTACCACGGTCCAGATGAAAGCAGTTCAGATGAAGGAAACACAGTCAGACTGTTTAGTTTCTCTAGGTATGAGCCATCTCAAGAGCACATTGTGTTCCGTTTGCTTTTTTTAATAAGGAAGAGAGAGAGTAGAGAGAGAGGGCAGGAGGGAGGGGAAGAACACGCTTTTTTAGAAAATGTTTTAAACGAACCAAGAGCCACTTGGTACATTGAAGCAATGCCTGAAGAATGCAGAGCCTTCTGAATGGCCTCCTGAACACAGTGGAATTATGGAATCCAGTACGGCATGCTGGGACGGGCCCCCGGGCCCCATTCAGGCTGGTGCTGGACATGTCGGGCCACAGACAATGCCAGACAGCCGCACCTTGACCTGGATGCACTTCTCTTGGCCGTCGGCCAGGAGTGCGGTAGGGAAGGATGGAGGATGGGGCGTGGCCACTGAGGGAGGAGGAGGGGCATACCTCACACCGTGTGGGTGCGTTCAGCTGTCACACACCGACCAGGGCGGAGCTATTTAAAGCAGCATGACTGTGTGGAGCAGGCTGGGGCAGCATGTTAGCAGCAGCCAAATCCAGAGCAGGGGAGCGACCAGGCCCTACACAAATCAGGAAGAGAGCACAGCAAGACAAGCTGTCTGTCCATCCCCTGTACAGCCAAGCTGTCCTGCTGAGGATCACTGTCATTATTTAGACACTTAACAGGTGGTATAACTTCACCAACATACATAATCAACTATTTTTTTATGTTACCCTTTACTGTAGCTGGAACTATAATAAAAGTGATTCATATTAGGAGTTTTATTCAACAGTAGTTGACCTGCTGGGATTTGAACAAGTTAACTTTGGATGGGGGTCTGCTTCCTTTAACCGCTAAGCCACATGCGGCACTGGGCAGTCTGGCCCCATCATTTATTTTATTGCTAAATGAACAAACATGTGCAGTTCTTAGAGAAAAGCACAGAAACCTGAGCTGAACGCAGTCTGTTCCAGGTGAGTGTGAGTACAGCAGAATATCTGAGGGAGGGGCCTTTCACAGG